GTCTGTAAGATGTGGGCCCGCCTGTCATCGGCGGACATGCAATGTTATTCTGTCATCTAACATCGTGTGAGAATGAACAACCAATCATAACCTGCCCCATCCTGATACACGGAAATAGGTCAACTCGATGATGACGTCCGGAGGATATCACAAGATATGAAAAGTGGACAGTGTCAAGGTGATACAGAAATAAGTATTCCACAACAAATGGAGTTGGATTACTGAGAGCTAAAATAGAAATTTGATTTTAAATTCTGAATTTACAGCGAGCCAGTGGAGAAAAAAAATCTCTCCTTCAAAAATTTCTCATTAAAAATCTGGCAGCAGAATTCTAGAAGTGACGAATCAGGCTCCAGTTCTGTTAGGATCACAGATATTGCGGTGTAACATTATATTGCAGAACTGGAGAATCTCACAGTATGAAGTACCTCTCATCTCCTCCCTCTGCCTGTAGGCTGGTTGATCCATCTGTCAGCCCCTGCAGAAAGGCCCTGTGCCCCCCGACTGAGGCAGAATGGATAAATCCTGTCAGATCCCAGCCTGTCCTGATGTCACAGAGGAGCCTCAGCATGTATAGATCTGTTCCAGTGTAGTCCCAGCACTTCAGATCCAGAGTCCTGTCTGATAAAGGAGGGAAGCAGGGGCCTGAACGTGATGGAGGGTCAACCTTTGGAGTTGTTGATTTGCTGCTGAATGACAAATGGACATCAGAGTCTCAGTGCAAAGGCAAAGGGGGGCCGAGCGGCCTGTTCATATGTAACATCACTCTCAAACAAAGGTCTCCTTGTCACGGAGACTACAGTATATTTCTGCAGATAATGCCACAGTGTTGAGCACATGTGAGAGCGGGCTCACGCGCTCGCAGGCCGGCTCCGCCTCGGGCTGGCAGAAGCTATAAATCAAACAAATAGCATCACACCCTGACGAAGGAAGGAAGCACTCCAACAGATAAAACGTTCTCCCACACAACAAAGCCACACTCGCTGCGTAATTAATTGCAACAAATTACCCCTTCCTCTCCCTGTCGGGGCCCCCACCTCGTCTCTTTTGCCGCACCGACGGGCGCGCGGCGCGCTCCCGAGGCACGGCGGTGTGTGCGGGCTTGCACCCCGGCACTCGCTGCTCGGCCTGCACCCTTCATAAGTGCTTTAATGTGGCTTATTGCAGTGTGCGGTCCCCTTAGCTGTGGAAATATTCGCTTGACGGATGTGCTTTGTCGCGGGCGCTCCCCGGCGGAGGGCGACTGTCAGGGAGGAGATGATAACATTAACAGGGAGGCAAGGCGATGACAAATGCCTGTTATCAGCGAACGAGGCCGGTGACAAATCGAACGGCAGCGCCCAGGCAGCCCCGGCGCGGCGTAATAAAAAAGAAGATGGATGGCACATCCAGGCAGGGCCTGCGTTAATGCGATTTCCACTGCTCTGCCTGACTCCCAATTAAGGCTGGGTGGGGGGGTGGGGGGGAGGATAGTGCTGAGAGAGGGAGGGGGGAAGGAGGGGAGGAATGAAATGGAGAAGAGAAGAAGAAAATGTGGAAATGGGGTAGAACTGGAGAATAAATGAGCTAGATGTGAGGCTATAACAAGAGGATAAATGTCAGCGAGGAGGAGGTGGGTGACAGGGACAGAGAGGAGGAACCACAACACAACGTGCAGCTTTAATTGGCCGCAGCCTTCACCTCCCCTCTCCACTCCTCCTCTCTTTTACTCACACCTCAGTCACCTTGGCACAGGGTCGTTAGGTGTCTGTGTGTCCTTGTGGAACATCATTAGAGGTTTAAAACACACACACGCACAACTCAGCCCTCGTCACCCCCTGATGAAATGAATCGTCTCGCCTAACAGCCAAGAATAAACATCACCCGCTGCCAAAGTAGAACTCTCAGCTACTACCACATCAGCTTTTACTGTCTGCAAAGCTGGCTGAGGTTTCGCAATTTTTGTGTGTTCAGAAGTCACCTGTCTGTGGCGGCCATCTTGAATCAGAATCAGAATCATTTTATTGTCATTCACACACAACATCAAAGATGCAATGCAGAACAAAATGCAGTTTAGAACATCCGTCCAGAGAAACACAACAAACATGGGGGAACGATTGTCCACAGTCATGCGCAACAATGTGCACTACCTTGCAGTTTAGAATACACACACCCATAGGAAGGATGAGTTAAAAAAGAGCTTTGATCCTGTGTTTTATAAAGAAAAAACACAAGCATGTGCACAAAAAAACTACTCAATTGGGTCAAATCCAAAAATGAAGTTGTAGATTTAAACTTAATGACTGTTCCATCCAGTGGTTCATGAGATGTTTTGCTAACAGTCAGAATCTACTCCAATGGTTCGTGCCACTGTTTTAAACACAGATCCAAAGGGATCAGTTAGTGTGTGTGTGTCTGCGATGCTACTAACAAATGACATCTGAGCTCAAAATCTGCAAAAATGACTGAGTCATAAATAAGTCTGCTTAGCTATTGCTAAATTTGCCTAGCATCTTAACTCTGAACTTTTAATCAGTTGTAGACATGCATGGAGCATTTAATTAAAGTTTGTTCACTTGCTTTTGAGAACAATACAGACAAACCTATGCACAGACACGAGTAAAAACACCAGGCAAAGACTGCAGGTTGTCAGAACCTACTTTTGTCATTTTTGTTGGTGCAGAAATAAAAATATATCAGCATGTGAATTTGAGCAAAAATCAGCCGAGGACGGCTGTTCTTCTCCTTCTTCTCAAAGACCCAGATGTTATCTCTTTACTAAAAAGATCAGTGTAGGATACTGAGTAATTGCCTCTGGATGAGGGGGCATCTGTGCCTGAATACCCAAGGGCTGCTGTTTTGTCACTCTGACAGTGTTTTATAGAAGACTGAGGAAGCTCAGAAGGCTGCAGAAGTGAGTCCCATATATCTCCCACTATTACACCGGGGCTGGAAAGAAAGCCTTGAAATGACAATGAAATATGGCCCTGGCTCGGAGGGAGAGAAAGAACAGGGTCTAAAGAGGGACAGCTGAGTCTTCCCGGGAGCCTGCAGGGGCTGTGCTTCAGATCCGAGACAGATGCACAGCAGACTCCTGCAGTACA